ATCTCCAACTCAACAACCTTTTAAAATGTAAGCCAGAACATTATCTCTATGTGCAAAATGTCTAAGACAACATTGTTAATAAAGAATATAAGTGCTAGCATCTATTGTTTACTATTTCATTGGTTCTTTTTCTAAGAGACTTTCTAATTCTCATCCTAGAAATACATATTTCAACGAGATTTCTAAAGTATGATTTGATATACCAGAAGCTATAATTTATAGACACATTTCAGATGTAATATAAATATTTCATTAAGATTGATTCATCCACATCAAAGCATTAACTACTGCAATAAAGTTCTCTATCATTGATTTTTCATATTGTATTTAGAAAGTAAAAGAAGTGAGCAACTCTGAGACCTAAATTGTCAATTCCAATTCATATAGTAACACAATATTTCTAAAATCTTTAATTTATACATTTTGAAAATGCCATTTCTGAAGTTTCATAAGAATTTAAATTTTAGCATCTCAAACTTCTTTTACTCATCGGGACTTCATGGTGAAGTGGAAGGAGAAAGGAAGACAAAAGGCAAATATTTCTTAGTTTCTTCTTTAGACACTATTGCCAATCATTTGTTGGTTACAAGGTGTCACTGATCTTGTCCTTACAACTATTTCTCCTGCTCCTTAATCTCAAGACTTTGTAAAAGAGACAAAAGACTCACAAAGAGATAAATCCTAAAGTAAAACTAAAATACTTCAGAACATAGGCCACCTGTAGGGGGCATCGGATTAGCTGGAATATGTTAATATGATTAAAAAGGGGTGAGTTTCATTACGAAGGGGTGTTGGTTACCTCTATAAGCATAAAATAACAAAAGCAATAAAAAAATTCGGTAGAGCCCTTTAACCCAATTCCAGGGGAGTGGAGAGTAATCATTAGCATCACTGTAGCAGCTAACATTTACTGTGTGCATCCTACTTTCCAGGCATTGAGCTCTTAGCCATCAAAGGATATTGACTCCCTTTGCAAATAATTTTCCACCATCAAATGGATATATTAGGTTATTATGTGTTCCTTTCATCAACTCTCTCAGTTCGTACTGGCTTCATGCTTACCAAGGAAACTTTGGATTATGATTTGGCCTCAAATAAGGGTCTTTCTAAGAAAAAAATATAAAAGTGACGACCAAATGGAATTCTAGTTTTCCACTTCCTAGGATAGGGATATCTCATGGGAAATATAGAAAATGGCTTTGATGATGTTGTGACTTGTCATCTAAGAATATCTACAGGAAATGAATGTGCTGGTTAGTCCTATCACTGGAACAGTAAATTCTTATTTTTAATGAACAAATTGGCACTCTGCTGTCTATCTCAGATATGTGTGCATTTTCATTATTCACCCCTGGACATTAAGAGTGAGTGTTTGGGGCTTCCTGGTGCTGAATCAGGTCTAACAGTCACTGTCACTATCACTTTCACCCACTAAAGTAGCTTACAAAATGAGACCAGAAAGGCTACACACAATTCATGATTCCAACTATATAACATTCTGGAAAAGGTAACATTGTGAAGACAGTAAAAAGACCAGAGGTTAGTGGGGAGGAGAGAGATGACTAGGTGGAGCAAAGAGGATTTTTAGGGCAGTGAAACTACTGGCTCCTAACCTCTCACTTGCCTGCCTGCCAGATGCCCCTAAATGCTCGCCTGCCTGCCTGATCACCCCTAACCACCTCTGCCTCGGCCCCCGCCACAGTGGCTTCGTCTGGAATGATGTCTAGAAGGTTGTTCAGCTGTCTGGTCTAATTAGCATATTATGCTTTTATTATTATAGATTATGGGTACATGGAGAGCCCTTATGCAGTGGTTCTCAACCTTCTGGCCCTTTAAATACAGTTCCTCATGTTGTGACCCAACCATAAAATTATTTTCGTTGCTACTTCATAACTGTAATGTTGCTACTGTTATGAATCGTAATGTAGATATCTGATATGCAGGATGGTCTTAGGCGACCCCTGTGAAAGGGTCGTTCGCCCCGCCAAAGGGGTCGCAACCCACAGGTTGAGAACCGCTGATGTAGATAGTGAGGGAATCTATAGGAATCCATGAGGAAAGAGAGCATATAGGAATTCTTTGAATCTTTTGCTCAATTTTATTGCCAATATAAAACTGCTCTTAAAAAAAGTACATTTTGCCCTAACTGGTTTCGCTCAGTGGATAGAGCGTCGGCCTGCAGACTGAAGGGTCCCAGGTTCGATTTTGGTCAAGGGCATGTACCTTGGTTGCGGGCACTTTCCCAGTAGGGGGCGTGCAGGAGGCAGCTGATCGATGTTTCTCTCTCATCGATGTTTCTAACTCTCTATCCCTCTCCCTTCCTCTCTGTAAAAAATCAATAAAACATATTTTTTTTAAAAAGTACATTTTTTTTAAAGAGATGAGAAATTTTTAAGCTTAAGAATCTCTAATGTAATATAGGCTTTGAAAAATGTATTGCAAGAAATCAGTGATGTGCCTGCTATGACTTACTGCACCAGAAAATTTACATTTCATTTTATCAAACAAAAGACAAAATTGACATCCTTATTTCAATATTCAAGATGAGGAAGCGTGGTCTGATGTGTTAAATATCTTGCTCAGAAATCACACAACTATAGGAGGATTCAAACTTCTCTGAGTACGTAATCTGAGCTCCATTACTACACTATCTGCTCTTTGAATAGAAAGTGCAAAACTGTGGCCTCTGTCTTAACCTACAGACTTTGGGCTACTAACCTCATTTCTGTATATCTATTATTCATTAAATGTTCATGATTTCCATTGTCTGAGATGGCTTATATCATTTAGCTCTTATCACAGTTCTTTGATATAAGTTTTATTAGCTCTTTTCAACCAACTAGAGGTCCGATGCACAAAAATCGTGCAAGGGACTCGGCCCTCTCAGCCCCTCGCAGCCCTGGCTGGGCCTTGCAGCCCCAGCTGCCTCAGCGGGCCTCGCAGCCCTGGCTTCATCCAGAAGGTTGTCTGGATGGTTGTTCTGCTGTTCGGTCTAATTAGCATATTAGCTCTTTATAATATGGGCTGGTGAAACTGACTCTGGGAAAGATTAAACTATATGCCCAATCTTGAATTTCAAAACCTATGTTATACAAAGTTACAGCTCCTTTCATAGTGACACAGTTCTCTCAAGACTTGAAAGTTGCCTGATTTTTCTCATTCATATCTTCATATCCACTTAAAAGGAATAAATCATATAAATCGCTATGAAATTATACTTTTATCTGCCATTTTCTTCAATTTTCATAAATTGTCTCAATATGACGAAAGGGGCATTATGATTTTGGTTTTACAAAATTTATAACTGTAAAATGCATTGAGTACTTGCTATATAACTGAAATTATAGCAGTGAAAACAGATTTTTCTATTCTTATGGAATTTATATCCCAGTGGGAAATTTACATATAATAAAAATATTAGATAATACTCTGAAGAAAAAGAAAGAAAAAAGGATTAGAGAAGCAATTTTGAACCTTATTCATCTCATGGCACACATAAACTAATTATTAAAATTCTGTGGCACTCCAGAAAATATGTTATATTTTTTGCCTATCTGACCAAAAAAAAATAGGTATAATTTTGATTCATTTACATCAGATGGCTTCTGTTATGTTGGCTGTTGTCATTTTTTTTTTTATTTGGGAAAAGAGGTCAATGCTCTGACTATATAGTCAGGTATTGCATGTTTTAAAAAATTTTGTGGCACACCAGTTGAAAATCACTGGGTTAAAGGTTGAAGAGAATATCATCTCTTTTGGACAGTGTAATCAGAGAAAGCCTACACCAATAGATGACATTAAAGCAGCTAAAAGACAGGTATAATTCTAAAATTTTCAGGTGTTATCAGCTATTATTTTGATAAAAGTTAAGCATATATAACACTTTCAGAGGTAAACAAGACACTGTATTATCAATATTCCATGCATACATGTTGATATTCACCTCATTTGTAGGAAAATTTATATGACATCCAATGGTTCCGTTTTATAAAAGATCAACAAATAATTGTTGCAAAACACCTATGCCTCATTATAAGGGGATCACTCATGCCTTAATCAATGCCTATTGTATTTTATTTGACACATAATTACTAATAGTTTAGTTACCTATCTGAAGCTTCTCCTGGGAATTTATAAGTAGGAGATATTTTTCTAGAGAGAGGCAGATTAACAGTGATAATTGGCATGTATCAACCAAAATTCAATAGAAGACATAATAATAAATAAATACCAATTTACAAATTATGAAATGGTGGCAGGTTAGGTCAGGGTAGTTAAGAGTAAAAGAGTAAAGACATTTTAATAATCCTTGAGAGCACTCAGTATATTAAAGGCCAGCTGTTTAGTAAATGATCACAACTCTGAGTAAACAATAACATATTCAATGTACTCTGTTCAAAGGCAGATGGGCATGTCATATATTTTAGAATAATTAAACATATATCATTTAAAATTGGTTTTTGAAAAAAAAATAAGCTTTAGCCATCTAGGTATATCACTCTGAGAAATAGCATTCCCTGGACTAGCTGGATTGCTTATTAGATATTGGGCTATTTGAGTAATTTGGGACCAAAAAATTGTACACACACTTTAACAGCTGATAGCTCAATTTTGAAAATGAAGTGTATTTCAACAAATAATGCCTTTATAATTATTCAAAGTGTGTGTATACATTTTTTGGGACATGCTATATACTCAGATAATTAATGTTATGATTTATTTCTTATATGCTGCATTTGAAGTTATGTTGATGCATCAATCAAGGCATTACAAATTAATATATTTTCACATCTAATTTCCAGTCCTATTTGAAAGTACTGTTAGAACCTCCACATATTTCAAATAAAACTACTTACTTCAGGAAAACAGCAAGCTAAATTATTAAGACAGTGTGTTAAAATATATGTTTAAACTGAACATTATAATGATTAAAATTACCTAATCCAATAAAAATTATAGCTGTATGAAAATAAATATATAAGTAAGCAAAAATTCATTACTCTGTAAGTTCTTCTATCTTTTTTTCCACTAGAGTGGGGGGCACATTAGAAACAATGACTTGCATGTCCAGCTGATTGACAACAGAGACCTGAAAGAAGAAAAAAACAGAATTTGTTTGGCTTTTACTCATTAACATTTCTATAATTAGATCATTTTTTATTTCTTCTCTGCTATGCATTTCACACGGTGGTTTTTCATTTTTAAATTCGGGAATAAATAATTTTTAGTCATGTAATTTTCATTAGATGTCGGGGCATGTTCAGAATGACAGACCATTTGTTGTTTACTCAGAAGTTACAGAAACTTAAGTGACTTCCACTGTTGTTGACTTTGTGTTTGTTTGCTTTCTTCATTATGAAAGATGTTTTTGTTTGTTTTTTAATTAGGTAGGTTAAGAACACTCAGGAAAACAAAAAAAACACAGCCTTTATTTTATAAATCTCAAGAGATCATGTAGTCATTGTGACTAAGAATCTGTGATATGACTAGTTAGAATAATTCATTTAATAAAACCATCATATATAGTCTTGCTGTTGTTGTTGTTGTTAATCCTCACCTAAGGATATTTTCCCATTGATTTTTAGAGAGAGTGGAAAGGAGGGGGAGAGATATATATAGAGAGAAACATCAATGTGAGAGAGACAATGGACTGGTTGCCTCCCACACAGCCCTGTCTAGGGTCAGGGATTGAGCCTTCAACTGAGGTACGTGCCCTTGACCGGAATTGAACCTGGGACCCTTCAGTCCTCAGGATGATGCTCTATCCACTGAGCCAAACTGACTAGGGCAGCATCATATATAGTCTTTATGTCTGCTTTAGCCAACTTTATGTGTAGATAAAGACGAATATACATGTAAACTTACATATGGGGCTAAAATTAATTTTAACAGCTGTTGATGAGTCCATCCTACTCATTTAACATTAATAACATTTTTCCTGTTCTTATTTAGAATAATGGAATAAAAATAAAAGCATTTATTACCTGCTTACAACATACAATTTACTTTTTTCCTCAATACACTACAGGCTTTAACTCATTTAATTCTAACAACCACCATATCAGGTAGTTATGACTATTATTCAGTTATAAATAAGAAAACTAATAAACAAAGAAACATTTAATAACTTGGGACCTATTAGTGCAGGCTGACTCCAGAACATGTGCTCTTTACTATTACCCAATATGAATATAAAAAATGTAAAGTCAAATCACATATTGTCTTGCATGTAAGTTAGACACTATTAGAATTATGTGTATGTATATGTACCAGGACCATAAACCGAATATACTGGATTAGGCATATTTAGCATCATATATCTGATCATAATTTATACTAGGGAATAATTTTATGCTGCAAGTTTTTTCGATATAGGCTCCAAGTTGTCTACATATGGATGCCCTATCAGGAGCCACAAAATTAGTGTCTTCAAAGACCAGACAGGTAATGTAAATGAGTGAAGTAGCCAAAAGCATGAAATAATAGGGAGAAGTGGAAATGTGACAAATCAGAGTCTACAACTCATCTGAAGAGGTCAACTACTAACTCATCTCTAATGATATGGCCATATGGGAAAACAGGTCCAGATTGGCTGGAAGATTCAGTGTTTTGGGAGAAGAAATCCAAACTACTATGTGAAATAATGCAACTAATTAGCAGTCTTTCAAACCATTGTTTGAGCCCAGTAATTCGGGTTCTGCAGTGTATATTAAGCCAGGCACCTATGAGCAAATAGTGAACATTGGCAGTTACAACCTTGCATCCCTAACTCATTATAGGTGTCTGGGACCAAATGTTTACATTTTCCTGCTTATAAATTCACACACACACACACACACACACACACACACACACACCTAATTTTATTAGAAATAGATTATCACAGTTTTTGTGCAACATTTTTCTTTTCTTATTGGTCCTGAGTGAAAAAAGAGACATAAATTACCTAGAAATATTTTAGCTTTGTTTATTTATTTGCTTATTTTTGTTTTTGGTAGTATACATGGCAAAAATCTCTAAAAAAATGTATATGATACTTACAAAATTATTTTCTCCTTTCTTTTCTCCCTTCCTTAGTCTGTCCACTCTCTTCTCCCTCTCTTCTTTATCTTCTTCCCTTTCTTACCTCCCCGCCCCCTTTCTTTCAACACTGGATCAGACAATGTCCAAAAAAGAGAAAAGAAATTCTGACAAAAAGCAAACGGCCTGGAACAAATAGTAGCCATGGAGTGTTATCTCAACAAGAACAGATTCCTCAACCTCCTTTGTAGTTTGGTGGAACCACATGATGTTCTGACAGATATAAAGTTAGTGAAAAGAAAGAAATTGCTTGAGTATTTTCTGTGTGAACCTTTTCTTCTTTTTCAATTTCTATCCTAATAAAGAAGTCATAGAAAAGGACAAAATTGTAAGTTGAAGGAAACCGAGTCCCTGTGTTTCCATTTGTAGGAAAGCCGTGGAGAACATCACTCGACCACATACACTCTCATTGCAGTCATATGAGAGAAAAATCACATTTGTTTGTTTAAATTTTTGAAATTTTGGAGTTTTTTATTAAGCAGTAAATCTACCATGACAAATACATAGGCATCTATTACATGTGGCTGTCAGATTTTTAGAATTTCCTCTTACATATGTTCTGAGCTTTTGAAGTTTTTTTTTTACAAGAAAACTTTTGAAAGGCAATCAATTCATGTGCTGGGACCCTATTTGGAAGCAAAATTTCACCTAGCAGATATAAGTAACTCTATTATTTGCCTTTTAAGAATAGTCAGTAATACCTCAGAAAGATAAATTACTGACTCAAAGGGAATTTTCAATTTGTTAATGAGCTTAGGGACTATATTCTGACTGAATCAACAGAATAAATTAAGATTTCAGATCCTCTGGAATATATGTATATTAAGCTTACAATTTATCTAAAAGATTTTCTGATCTTAATAACCTTTGAAAACATACTTTTGTTATTTTTAAGACAGAAAATTTATAATTCAAATAAAATGTCTTACTGTGTTTAACTCCAAAAGTAGTTGTTTCAGATTTACCTGTTAAAAGTTACATTTAAAATTTTAAATATTTTAAAAGTATTAATATATGATTTATATAGAATGTGTATATATTGGACTATGCAAATGAAGAATAAGCTATTATAGTTTAAATTGTGATTTTCAAAAAATTCTATATCCCTGAATCTTTAGTTTCTTCCATCATATATAGAAGAGATATTTGAATCTTTAGCATTACTGAATATTATTTGTTACTTTTTCCAGTATAGCTTCTATGTAAATAGTATCAGAAATACATGTTAGTTTGTTATACAAAACAATAAAAATTCTGCTTATTAAATTACTTAATTTTATTCTTTGTGTGTTGACTACTAATGAAAGATTTTAAAGAAAATATACCTATTATTGTGAAAATTGATTTGTCGCTAGGTATGGTAAAAAAAAAAAGGAAAGAGAAAGTATCATGTATGAAGCTTTGAATTCTAAAACAAGAGATTGTCAAGTTACATTATTTCCTAAGTCCTTTTAATTCTTCATCACAAACCTCTTATCTTTCCTTGCCCTCACCCATTTTCCCCATATACTTTAGACAGTACCGTCCAATAGAAATAGAATCTGAGTCTCAAATACATACCAGATATATAATTTTAAATTTTCTGGCACTCAAAGAGGAAAAATAGTGAAATTAATTCAATAATACATTTAACACAATGTATTTAATACATTATCATTCCAATATGCAATCAACATAGGAGACATTTCACATTTTTTCATGCTAGGACTTTGAAATTCTATTTAATACATTATCATTCCAATATGCAATCAACATAAAACAACTTACTAAGGAGACATTTCGCATTTTTTCATGCTAGGACTTTGAAATTTGGTGTGTATTACATACTTACAGTACATCTTAATGCAACCTAGTTACATTTCAAGTGCTGAGAAGCCACACATGGCAAATAGCTAACATACTGGACCTTTAGAGGCCCACCATTTCTTGCTTGGGGTGGTCACTGTCTCTCTCACATGGTTTCTAGCATAATCTCACTTTTCTTAAAAAAATATGAGATGTTTAAATAGCCTTTTGAGGTATGTGTGTGTTCTTTGTTACTACATCATGATGCTACATCTGGAGAAGAAGCATTCTAAGCAGAGCCACTGCCAAATCTCTAAGTAAGAGCATGTCTGACTGTTTGAACAAAAGCAACTTGGCCAATATTATTGGGTTTGAATGAGTAAGAGAGAGAAGAGTAGAAAATGAGGTTCCTGGAGGCCAGAATCAAGGGTCTCATATATGACTTGAACATTTCTCTGGGTAAATTGGCGTTATATTAAAAGATTTTGAACTAGGAAATTACAGGAGCTGAATTACATTTGAATCACTGGCTGTTATAATTAAACTGGACTGTAGTGTAGGAAGAATAGAAACATGAGGGCAAGTAATGAGTTTGTGCGATGATACAGGTGAAATATGATAGTGGTTTCAACCAAGTTGAAACAGTAGAAATGTTGAAAAATGTGGAGTTAATAATGTACAGTAATAACAGTATTTGCTAAGGGATTGAATCAAGAAATTTTAGCTGAAGGAACTCAAAGATAATTTGGGCATCAAGTGAAGTTGGGAAGACTATAAATGAAAGAAATGTGATAAGGAAGTGAAGTTCAGTTTAGGACACATTACATAGATATCTTTATTAGATATTAATGTGTAATTGTTGCAAGTACAAATAGATTAATGAGTCCACTCTTTAGAAATGAACTTTGGGGTGAAGATATAATTTTAATATGTTTTAGTATATAGATGGTATTTCAAAGTTATGAGTTTGGATGAATTTACTGAGTCATGAGTACAAGTAGAAAAGAGAATTAATTACTGTCTGAGCTCTAGGAAATCTCAGTACTAAAGGGTGAGGAGAAGAAATTGAACCAGCAAAGGAACCAAGAAGGAATATTAGTAAACAGTAAGGTAAGAAGTAAAAAGAGAGAATGGTGGCCCAAAAGCCTAGTAAAGGTAATAATCATCCAAGTGCTGCTGATGGTTCAAATAAGATGAAGACTGAAATTACCAGTCCATTTAGTAGCAAGAAGCCATTGATGATGTTGACATAATGAGTTTGGATGAGTACTGGCACTGACATTATGATTAGAGAGAGTTTGAAAGAGATTAGATGGTGAGAAATTAGTCAACTCTAACAAAGAATGTTTCTGGAAAGAGTAATAGAAATGAGTGGTAGCTTGAAGGAGATGTAGAGTAAGAGGGTTTTATGTTGAACATAAAAAGAAAAAAAAGCATGGTTATGGGAATAATCAAATAAAGGGGGGATTGATATTAATGATGAATATAGAAAATGAGAGAGCTGTTGAAACAATGTCCTAGGGTTGGTGAGTGGAATTTGAATCTGTTGCACAGGTCAAGGTAATGGTTCCTGATAAATGCATAGAGAATCCATCTAATAATAATAATAATAATAATAATAATGATAATGCAAAGAATGTCAGTATAAATCCTGGTAGGTAGGAGGATTTAGTGATGGGAGTTGTCAAAGTATCCTTCTAAATGCTTTAACGTTACCTTTCAGGGAAATATGTTGCCAATTAATTAGGACTGTAAGAAACAAGTTCTTCTAGAAGAGGAGGAGTATGAATGAACCAGGAAATATATAGTGTGGTTATTGAATAAATAAGAGCTCACTTGGGGGATTTCATCATTAATTTAAAGAAAGACTAATTATATAAGTGTACATGTTTTTGCAGTCATACTCAGCATGAGAGAAAGAAGAACGTTGCAATTAAGTACAGTTATGGTTTTGCTAAGTGTATGTGATTTAGGAAGAGAAGGCAAGGAAGTTGAATTTTTATGTGGTGGAGTGCTTTTAATAATTGATAATGCACTACAAAACTGGTAAGCAGGAAAGAGAGCACAGGGGGGTTAGAGGAAGGGTAAAAATATAGCAGGCTAAATGAATTAAAGGTCCTGGTGAGGACACAAGAGTGCTGGGGCTAGCTGAACACATTCAGTATTATAGTCAGAGACTGGGAAGTTTGAAATGGAGGAGGTTACAGAGGGGTTGCGGTAATTGGTAATGGCTAAAATAACTCTGGTTGTTATTTTAATAGGGTAGATGGTAAAGCCATTGGAGGAAAGCCATGCAGGGAAATTTTAAGTTCACGATACTGGACGATTCATCTATGTGTATAACAAAATTGCCAAAAATTAGGAGAGAAGAATTGTTGGAGATAACTCCGGAGCTAAACTCATTGAAATACGTTGGGGATTGAGCAACGATTTGGGTGATCACAGCAATAATGTGAGGCAGTGAGTAAGTGACAGAGACACAGATGATGAGAATCAAGGTTGGATTCTTGGGAAGAAGGAAAGATCTAGAAGCAGCCATGTGGTGCACTGAGAATTCTACTTTGCCAGCAGGTAGTATGAAGACTGTGGCAAACATATATAGAACAGAATACAAAAGCCATTATTTTGGAAGGCAGCAGAAGTATCCTCAGGGGAGAACCACATTTGCATTAAGCAAGGTTTTATCTAAATTAAAATCTTATCTTCATTCACCCTTACTAAATTTTTAAAAATGGTTTCTTGTTGCTTTTAGGAAAGAGTTCCAATAATTTTAATGTTGCTTTCAGCTTTTAGATAAACCAACTACTTCCACCTTCAGCCCTTTCTCTTAGTCACTTTCTGAGTCTCATTCTTCAGACAGATTGAATATCTATCAGTTATTCAGACCTACCATCACATCTCTTTCTTCTCGGTTTTGGTACATTGTTGTTCTCTCTTCATAAAATATTTATTTCTTTCCATAAAGAATTTTAGATCTTACAAATATTATTTGCTAGGAAGGCATATATATATAATCACAATATAAATATATAACATCATTTGATTTAATTTAATTTTTCTCAATATAGTTTGAATAGTTTTAAAGGTATACTTAATAATTTCCACATAATAATTTATAGAGTCCAAATAAAAATCCCATAAACTTCATACTGCTTATGTACATATCATATATATAACCTATATAGTTACATTCTTATGATTTTTATAATATTTTAATTATGTTTAATATACTAAATTATCACTTAACCTTAAAGCACCACAGTGTGCATATTTTAACAGGAAGAGAAATAGCATTATTTTACCTAATGTTTACAGATATTAATTTGATTGAAAATCTATATCAACCTTAATATCTTCTATGTCAAAAGCTTCTTAGCTTAGATTGGCCCTTGTTTTTTTATGCAGCTTTACTGTTATAAATGAGAATGTTGTGGCCTTCACACCCACCACAATCATGGTGGTTGATCTTTATCTAAAAAGAAAAATATTTGATCACTGATGTCTGCATAATATGAAGGTTAAACCTGTCCAGTGAATTAAATGAGGAAAGCTATAAAAAAAGAAGATGTAATAAGATGTAAGAAGCAAAGAAAAATTATACTTGATTCTATCTTTAATGGACAAACATTTCTAATAATTATACTTATAATTTATACTAGATTTATCAGAGAAAAGTCCAAATAATGATAGAGATTCCATGGAATGGATGCATTGGTGTTAAATATTTTGAATAAATGCTAATAGCAAGCCACCCTTGAGAATAATCTACCACCTAAATTCTAAAGAAAAAGTCAGAATAAAGTGATATTATTGACTGAAACCAAATGTAACTTAGTCAAGGATCATCAATGTCATCAATGGGACTTTTAAACAACAAGAAAAAAAATCCATTGAAACATGAACATTGCTTTTGTTTTCTTAATTACAAAAGGCCTAAAAGTAATTTAAACAATAATACAAATTATTTTAATTTCTACAGCACAACACTGCAAAACATTTTAAAAATTTAAGTAGCTCCAACCTAATATGTATTAAAAATGAGATCTGCAGACCAAATAGAAATCCAATGCTTATGACACTGTTGTCAAAAGCATATATAAAAACATATGATGTATTTCCCAAATGTAAAAAAAAACACAAACTAACCCAACAACTTTAAAGCTATATTTTTTTATATACTAAGCTATAGCTATCAACAACCTGGATAAAATTAATTACATTTATATTTTAGAAAGCCTATTTCAAGTAAATTTAAAAGTTCTATCGGTTGAAAACATTGACCCCAGACTAGTAAGGCATCTGAAGATTTATCTACTTACAAGTACATCTGCTTTGCCACTTAGTCCCTTCCCATAGTCGTCAGTTGCGATGACTTGAAACATGAAGTAGGACCTCCTCATGTTATGGAAGAGCATGGCCGTTTTGATAAGCCCTGTATATGTTTCCACCACGAATCCTTCTTTTCCTTCTTTGATTGGTGGAATTATGAGTCTGTATGCTATGGCACTGTAATTGCCAGTATCTTTATCAGTAGCCTAGGAGGGAAAAAAACCACAAGTTATAAATAATCAGGTGAAAAAATGACCCTTATTAAAGGGCTTATTTCTGCTTGTAAGATTGATGTTTCTTGTGTAATAATAATGCAAAAAAGCCCTCCTAAAAGTCTACTTTTCTGGATGCTGTTAGATAGATTTACAAACTTTGTGTCCACAGGGCTCAAGGATTGTCATTAGACTAATACCTACTGAACTGTGAATAAAAGGACATAGATATTAACAGAGCCCAGTTGATGAATCAGGTTTTTTGATTGGTATGCCAGATGGGTTCAGCTCTGGGCTGAGATCCAAATTGGTTTAAGGATGGGACTCATTGTTTACCTAACCATTGTCTTGCGTATAGACATAGCATGGGTTTGTGTCTTTTATTTAACCTACTTTTTAAAAGGGGAAAAAAATAAAGGCACTAAAATACATCCAATGACAATAAGACAAATCAAAGTTCAGAGCTGTTAACCAGTAAGCTCAGAGTTGCTTAAAGAGATTCTAATTAGTTAATGTCATAGCATAATTACAGAGGGTTAGAATACTAATCCAACTTATTTTTTACATTATCCCATACCCTGATTATCCAGATTTGTTCCTGGATTGTAGGTACTTACAATCTACAAGTTAAGGTTTCTTAGCATTGAGAATTGTAATAAGGTAAATAGTTGCTTAGAATACAACTTATTTTTTACATTATCCCATACCCTGATTAACCATATTTGTTCCTGGATTGTAGGTACTTACAATCTACAAGTTAAGGTTTCTTAGCATTGAGAATTGTAATAAGGTAAAGTTGCTTAGAATATGGTTCGTGTGTGTGTGTGTGTGTGTGTGTGTTTAATAAAGTATGAGCATTACATATTGGGCTGGACTATGGATTCTACTTCAGGGACATTTTTCAGAATGCCAATTTGAGAATTATTTCATAGTAAAATATTTGGAAGCAGAATGATTAACAGAGTCTTAGTGAATTTATAAAAACCTACATATATGCTAGTCATGATACTAGATATGTAAGTTTTATGTTTTTATTATTATTTTATCTGCTTATTCTTATTTTAACCAATGATATGACTATTAAATATCATGATCAAGCATTTATGATTTGCCTTCATAATGCTAAGAATCCTACAGAAATATTTAATAAACTCTCTGAGGAATGTATTATTCCATTTAAATATATTAGTTGTCCAGTAAAACTTTCTGGAAATTCTTTAAATATGCTCTAATACAGTAGCCACTAGGTACATTTGACTATTGAACACTTGAAGTGCGGCTATTGTGACTAAAGAACTGACATTTTATTTGGTTTAATTTTTCAAAACCTGCATAGTAAGTGGTAAAGTTAGTATATAAATAATGACAATACTATAAATTATATAAATGTATATTAAGGTATAGTATGAACTTGACTCTCTGGCTTCAAAATTGATATATGTGCTTAACCATTAAAATATTTCAGGATAACTCTATCCAGCTGGTAGATAAGGTAACTTAACCCACATATTTCACTTCAGGATAAGATATTTCTTTAATTTTCTAAGAAGTTAAAATTCTCAACTTTAGAATAGAATAAGCTCTAACTACCAGCTCATCTCTTTAGATGATTGGTATGGATTGCATAATGGTAGAGCTTAATTTTGGCATTAGAGAAATGGTAATTATATTTCAACAATATTACTTAAAGGGAAAAAAAAGAACAAAGAAAAGCATAGTTATCAAAGTTTTTTTCTTTTTAAGCTTTGAACCCCAGAGATTTTATTCATTTAACAAAGCACAGCATAGAAAAAAAAAGCACATTCCCCACAAAAGTTAAAATCAGAGTTTGAATCAACTAATCAAAGACATTTCTTTTACATACTGTGAGAAAATTTTAGACTAATGCCAACTCAATAAAGCATTTGGTTGAATAATATTCTTTAACATATTAACACTGACATTTCCCGAGGAATAAACTTTTTACTGCTAATGCAAACTTTACTGAGGTATAACAGACATGCTATAATGTACAAATCTTAAGTATACAGCTAAATAAAATTTTGCAAAATATACACTTCCATGAGATATTATATTATCAGCATCCCTTCATGACCTTCTAGTTATACCCAACTCTCCAGGGAAACCACTATCTTGATTTCTAATACCATTGATTAGTTATGCCTAATTTTAAACTTTATATTAATAGGATCATAATAAAGTTTCTGTCTGACTTCCTTTACTCAATTTTGTATTGTGATATTCTAAACCTTTATATTTAAAAATAGACCCTGTAACACAACAATCACATTTAGAAAAGAAAACGTGGTCACAATATTATCATTGTGATTGTGGGTACATTAAGCTTCTTTGCACAGTTTTTACTGATTAACTTCCAATTTTAATAAAAAAGTAATTTTAACTGACAGTATTGTTAATTTATTTAATTATGATTACCACAAGTCACCATATTTTGTCTTATGGATCAAAGTGCTTTTTTAAAGCATACTTTTCCTGAAACAAATAATTATTTAATGCAAAGTTTGGTTATGGAATTAATAATTATAACTTAGAAATACCTATTTTATTTTATTATTTTTCACAGTACATTTGAAGCAATTTGTCAAAAACGAGATACATTTTTAAAAATTATACTTACTAGACCATTTTTAAAAATATATAAAACTACTGTCAGTATGTTGTTAGTAATGATTCCACTTTAAATTTCCATTTGTTTGAATCAGCTTGATCCTCTTTGCAATCTCAAGATCTCATTTTAGAAAAATTTTCAGGATTATTATCATTATTTCAAATCTCCCTGTTCTCTACCAAGTATCCCAATAGTGAAATACAAGTAAGTTAAACAGCAAATAATAAAAATTTCAATAGGTACTATATTTATGAGCAAGTTAAAGGATTTTCAAGCTTAATGTTGAGTCTACTCAATTTTCAACCAAAAATGAATTTAATACTAAAACCTAGATATAATATGTGACTGATTAATGTTGGTTATATAGGTTACAATCATACAGTTAATAAGCAAATGCTATTTTTATGAAATAAATTGCAAGATATGATATATTTAAATACAAAATGAATCACAAAAATATTGATCATAAAATTAAGAGCACAATTTTAAATCTGGTTGAAGATGTGAAAAAAGTGAGAGTTTCAGCACAGTGTATTATATCTCTTTGTTTCCTACTTTTAATAAAATTAAATTTAAATTTTTGTTTGTTTATTTGCATTCTGTTATATAGAGAGGTAGACTCAATAGACAGATGTGATTTTCAAAAAAATAGATCGCTTAGAGTTTCTTGGCCATGGCAGGATAGCTCTGCTGTTTAGAGCATTGTATTGTCCAGATAACCCAAGGTTGTGGGTACACTAAGGTTGCACATTCAATCTCTGGTCAGGGCATATACAAGAAGCAACCAATGAATGCATAAATAATTGGAATAACTAATCAATGTTTCGCTCTCTCTTTCTCAAATAAAAAAAACAAAAAATAAATACATATAAATGTTTATTTCTTATAAAATATCTCAAACATAAGAGTGTATAAAAGAGAATAATATAATAAACACTTGTTTACCTAACCCAGGCATATCAAGTCTATACATTATACCATATTTACTTTAGATCTTCTTTTAAAATGGCTTTATGAAAGTATAATTTACATATTATAGATTGAAGCTCTTTAAGATCACTTCTGTATTTTATTCCTCTCCTTCCCAATAGTAACCACTTTCATGATTTCAGTACATATTGTTGCCTTGGACTTTTTCATCATTATTCTGAATACATATGCATTCATTGTACAAGTGTGTGTACTGTTGAATGTAATAGAATGGGTACACACATTTATACATATTGATCTGTATAAATTGTTTTAACTACTATATAACATTCCATCTCCAGTTGATTGACATGTAGGTTGCTGACAATTTTTATGTGAAAGGAAGCCTCACAATAAGTATCCTCACATCCTGTGTAGACATCTCTCTAATAGCTGCACAGCCATTTACAAGGTAGAGGACAGGAAAAAAATATACTCGACCACACTAGACTTGCTCTTGCTTGGTGTGCCACCTCTGTTTCTGTTAACGTGCTGTGTTCTTGGCTAATGAAATGAGGGCCTTCACACATGGGAGGGGTCTCTCCCAGACCATTCTTAATGACATGGAAAATGTTCATAATTTATTGTCAAGTGGCAACATAAATTTCTACACAGTCTGTATTGTGCAATCATCATTTTTAATGAAAAGATTATACCAAAAAGACCAAGGAACCAGCCTGAAGGGGCTATTCTAACATCAAAATAAACAATAGCCGGAAGAAATCATGATCTATTTAATAAAATGGAACGGGTGTGCTAATACAGATTGAATGAATGAATGAGTGAATGAATGAAGAAAAGGCTCTTGCTTACAGCATAATACTAATAAGTGTAGAAGGAATGATGGATTCAGAAAAAAATATCATTTGATAACCACCATAATAATAACCAATTCAGAAAAAAATTGATTTAGGCAAGAGTTACTAGTGAGTGAAAGACTGATGAAGATCAAATATTTACATAGCTTCAAAGTATTTCCCCACAAAATAACTATTATTATAAAAGCAAAAGAGTCACTATACAGTGAGAAGCCTGGCAGACTCTATTTTAATTCAGTGATCAAAATTAATATTACCAGTAATGGGCCAAGTCATCATCATGTGTCACCTGATCAGATGCCATGAGGACAACACATCATTATCACTTCTGTGATGTTTCTGCCAAAGCTGCATAACTGAAATCTAACCGTGAAAAAACATCAAACTCAACATCCAACATGAAGGGCATGTTATAAAATAACTGGCCTTCACCTGAATCTCTCCCATCTCTTCTTCATTTAATGCTTCATCAGCTCTATTTATCTCTGTACTTTCAACCTTTAACTTAACAGACCATAAGACATCTATCTCTTTCTTATTAAAACAAAACTAAACTCTTATTTTACTCTATACCCACT